GGTCCTTTTGAGATAGCTACCACTAAATGGGGAACAATCATTGGGCAAGCAACTTTATAGAATAGTGAACTGAGGGATGTTGAAGTTGGTCCTAATATTTCTGAGCTACAAGCCTCTTTGGGTCCTCATGAACAAGTTGGGGAACTTAACTAGTTGTGTTCTCTGAATGACAATTTGCGTCAACAGATGAATTCAGCATTGAAAGAGGTTTGGCATGTTTAGAAGTCTAAAAAAAAGAGGAAATGAGTCATGGAGCTTAAAAATCTACAGGAAGGTGCACAATCCCTTTTTGAAAGAGCTTCTCACCAAGAAAGAATGGAACTGCTTAGAACTAGAAGAAGGGGGAAATTCACCTCTTTTGGATGATGAACTTTTTATGTTGGAATGTTAGGGGACTAGCTCATCCTAAGTCCCTTAATAGACTTCTTTCTCTTAATAGGATGTATAAGTTGTGGATAATTACTATCTTGGAGCCTATGGTTTCCAAGAACCTCAAAAGAGTCTAAAAATTTTCCATTATTTTCTTCACTTTTCCAATCTCAAGAATAAATTTTGGATCCTTTGTAGGAATGAGGTTCAATGTGCGATGCTGAGGGATCATGCTTAATTTATTCATTTACAATTGAACATTGGAGGTATATGTGGTCAGGAAACCTTTATTTATGGAGGATGTTCATCTTTGGCCATACAGGAGCTGTGGTGCCATCTAATGGATATCAGCTTGTCGAATAACTCAATTTGGATAATTGGTGGGGTTTTCAATTGTTTGTCTTGAGGATGTTCATCTTTGGCCATACAGAAGTTGTGGTTCCATCTAATGGATATCAGCTTGTCGAATAACTCAGTTTGGATAATTGGTGGGGTTTTCAATTGTTTGTCTTCTACTACTAAAAATCTTGGAATCAGGCCTTCTGATTTGAACCAAATCCATTGCTTTAATGATAACATTCCAATGGTTGGATTATATGATTTAGGTTTCAATGGTCCTAAATACATTTGGAGAAGAGGATACTGGTCAATTCCTTTTAGCTGAAGGAGTTTTTGTACACTTCAATTTATCATCTTTCTAAAATTGTCCCTGATCATAGACCCTTTCTCATTTCTCTCAGCCTATCTTACCAAAAGTAAATCAAGCGGTGACACTTAGCTCCAAATTGATAAAAGAATCTAGCATGTCACCCTAGAAACATCAATTCTACATCCATCAGATCTTATCACTCTATTTATTTTTACTCACCCTCAGAGGATCGCCACTACTCTTTATAAATTGAAATGTTGTAATCACTAGTCGGAGATATCTTAGCCCTCTCGGATCTATAAATTTCTCAACAAATTTTAGCAATACAAGTGATCAGTTTGCAAAGTAAATTAAGAGCCGATGAAAATATCATCACATTTATGAAATAAGAGAATTTCTAAGCAAATCTAAATTTTCCAATTCATTGCAAAAGAAAATTAAAATGAAGATAATGGAAAAAGCAGTGAAAGAATTGATAGAATTGCTTAATAAACTAAGTGCCAACAAGGAATATATGTCTACCTACCCTCTTTCAAGCATATAGGTATGCTTAATATTTTATTAGTTTTATGCAACTATCTGTCATCTATAAGCTTCTAACAGAAACCGATCTTGAATTATATTTCCTTAAAAGTTGCATTGTCGCCCATCGATCTTGAAATATATTTCCTTAAAAGTTGCATTGTCGCCCACAATATTTCGCAATAGCCAACCAGACAATGTGAGTGCACTCAAGTTGTAAGATCATTGTTCTCCTGAGTCTTAGTTTCACTTATAACATATTTTAGCATAATCTATTGCCACTTAATTTATGTCATTAAAGTGAAGGAGATATTACTCATCACATTAAAATAAAAAATTCTATCATAAAATAAATTTTCCTGCACATGCCACTACTTCATATTAAAAGAAAAAAGTAATAAAAACTACTTGCAAAGCATCGATAAAATACAACAGAAAACTTCATTTAAATTAATAAAATCCACTAGAAAGTGTTTACAACAATTACGATATAATAAAAAACATAATACTTAGTTTTTTTCCCTCTGAAGGAAACATAAAAAATCTCTCCAACAAAGTCTCATACTGATCCATGCGTCGCTCATACTTCCTTAATCGTATCTCTCAAAATCCCTCACCAATCTCTTTAGAAAATGGAGAAATCTACTTCTCCATAAACTCACACAAAAATTTCTTTAAAATCCTTCTAAAACTCCTCCTGATACTCTCCCTATTTTTTTCCATAAGAGGCGTCGGCCCCCTTATCCAAAGAGACACAAAAACCCCTCATTTCTCCAAGCGACACATCTCTTCATCCAAGATTCTTTCCAAGTTTCTAGATTCATTTTACCACTCCATCGGGCGTGCAAGCCATCCAGCAGCTTCCAAAACATCCCAAAACCATGAAAAACCGTCCAAAACCGCCCCTGGACGGTTTCTGGCGCCTAAGCTCCATTTTCAGTCCCTATGAGCGGTTTTCTCGTCGTCACCATTGCCCAGGCGCTATTTTTGGTTGTCTAGGAGCCATCCTATAGGCAGCTCCACGGTTTTGCCCCATTTTGCTCCGTTTTAACTGTGTTTCGCCTCGTTTCAGCAATGTTGTGCTTCAAACTGATATACCTACAAGATAGACATGAAAATAACCTTTCTTTAAGTGTAATTTCATACAAAAACTTGTGATAAATGTAAAGAAGATTAAGCATAGAAAGACATATCAAATGTGTTAGGACAGAATTTTCTTTTTTGCTCGATTTGACTCCAAAAGATACTGTTTTTGTTTCATTTTCTCTAAAAGTCCATTTCTTGTTCCTGAAGACAAAACATACAAAATATCTTCCTTTAAAGTGTAATATCATTAAAAATATACATAAAATGATCATGAAATGTACAATAAAAATATGGGATTTTAGGTGGATTAACATGTCACAAGGATTATAAATCCTTGTGGGGCTTTTAGTAGTGAACTATGTCGTAGATAATTTTTTAAAATCCTCGAAGGAAGTAATAATTCTTATGGAGAGTACATTGAACCATCTGAGAGATGAATCTCTGAGCATGATTTAGAATAGTTGGCATTTAACGCATAAGAAACTTGAAAAGGCATATAGCTAACTCGAAGGGCGTAATATGGTTAGCTGAATCACTCCAACCCTTCTATGGTTCCATGGTCGGAAGCTCGAACATCTCTGAGGGTTTTACACCGATAATGTGCCAAGAAAATGCATTCTTTCAACAACGGTACACTTATATCCGCCTGTTTTGAATTTTGTTCCTCGACATGGATCCATCAGTCCCTTCGTACTAAGATTCTTCCACGAGTTCGGCTTCTTGAGCCCTTTTTGTCAACAGCAACAGTTATTCTTGTGAATGCCCTTTTTGTCAGTTAAGCAGTTATAGGTGTGTGTGCTCCTTGGTCATCAGACTAACGCACGATCGGCCTAGAATTCAATTGACTGGTATCAAACTGTTGGGTCATTTGTTGCTCCCTTCGTGCGATCCGTTGGATCTTCTCAAGATTCATACCGCTACGCTTTTTATGTACAATATTTAAAATTTATGTGTACCACATTCATTAGAAATAAAATAATAAATTTAAAAATGTCAATTTCCAACGTGCACTTTACAAAGTGTATACACATTTATAATATTTCGAAGAGCTCTAAATACACCACTTGCGTGGCATGTAGCACCACCAGCTAGCTACATTTAAAATTCTATTTAAATCTAGCTGGTGGCCAAATGGCTCCTAAAAAAAAATCAAGTCAACTATGTATTTAAATAAATTTATAGTAATATTTAAACATGTCTGTTCACTTCAGAATTAAAAGCTATATTTTTCACGCTAACTACGCTCATTATTAATATAACGCTTGCATATATATTTCCAGATTTTAAATGTCCAACTCATCTTCTGAAGAAAAAGGCTTTTTACTAAACCACAATTTTTTTTTAATTTCATTTTGGGTTTATAAAACTTAAAATTAATAACAAAAAATAAGGTTATTTTGTTTATTCTTTTCTAAGAAAATTTATCAAAAAAAATTATTTACACATCGAACACTCATTCATAAGGAATTATTTTTTATTGAAAAATAAATAATAATGATAATATTTTTTATTGTGATATTAAAAATTTAAGATCAGTTTATCTTGCTCATTGACTCTGTTATTGGTTCTTATTTTCTTCTTATTATTGTCTATGCTGGATGCTATAGGGATTCTTTAAGAGAGAACTTTGGGACTCTTGTCCAGAAGCTTCTCCGAAACCTTGGATAGTTTGGGAGGATTCAACATGATAACTTCTAGCATTGACAGAAAAGGTGGTAATCCTCCTAGGCAGAGCCTCATCAACTTGTTCAGAGACACTAAATTTTTACATAAGTGAAATGCTATATATAACATAAGTGAAATGCTATATATATATATATATATAAATGGAAGATTAACATAAATACCAATCAATTCCATTTGCGTCGCGTACTCAGATCAGTTGGTCGGACATTTGCTTGTCAGTTATAAGTTTCCTCTTGTCTGGGGTTCGATTACCCCCGATGGAGGGTGTACTCAAATTATAGTCACATGTGGAATGACCGAGGCTCGTATCATAGCCTTGGACCGTTCCTTTAGATAAAAAAAATATGATATATATATATATCTATCGTTTTCATTTAAAAAACAACGGCGGGGGGGACCAGGCTGAAAAGAAGGCACGTGTAAATAGAGAATATACTAAAATGAGGAGAATAAATAAATTATTTACAAAAAAAGAAAAATACGTCAGCTCTGACCAGGATTCTCCTCGCCGCCACCTGCACGAAAAAGAACACAACTCCAAGTCCCAATCCCCGCGGACCACTAATACCCTACAACTAGTCATCAAACACCATCCGACCCTATTATTTTAATTAATTACCACCCTACCCTCCCCATTCTGCTCTAAATTACATGATCATGCCATCGGCTGGGGGCCG